ATATGCTTGAATATGAAAGTGGTCGCTACAATAGATTTCTACGGTTCTAGGACAATTCGGCGCAGTTAATTTTGCTGTAGGAAATCTCACCGCAGGTAATTTCGTCGCATAGGAAAAATTTGCCGCTTGAAAAGTCGCCCCAAAAGCATTTTGCTGTAAAACAAGTATTTGTGATGAAAACATTTAGGTTTTTGAAGTACCTTATTATTTAAAAAAGATTCGTTATTTAAGAGCATACTGGGCGAAATTTTCTGCGCCGATTTATTCGGACACGGATTTCTACTACTTATATTTTCTTCAAATTTTTTTTTGAGACCGACGGGACCTGATATTACACTCATTCCATCTTGATTCCAGGGAACACTGTTTTGGCGTTTTAACGTTTAGTTGTCGTAGAGTATTATGATAATCCTGTACGCACGTGATTTCAGACGTGTCTATGGTGTCATAATATGTTTTGATATCGTCTGCGTTGAGGCATTGTTCGATTATGTCGACATAATAACAACTGTTTGGTAGTCATAATTCATCGCGTTGTTCGGTTGTCAGTCTGCTACCCGGATTGTACAAACTTTCGATCCTTACAAGTTACACCCCTATGACCCAAACTAAGGTTACACGATATTTTCGGTTTCGGTTCGATGGTGGTGCATTATACTGATTTTGGGACACGATCGTCATTGTACACTTTCAGCCGCCTATGTGGTTCTAATGTTTGTATTCAAAATTGACGATAATTGTTTGCGTTAACAATGCTGGATTTCTAGCCCGGTCGTCACAATATGGTTAGCACATCTGTTGATCTGTTATTTGAGATTTTATTCATCATCAAAGTCCTTGCATCTGGAGCATTTACCTAGCTGAGAATTCCCATGCCGAACATGGGCCTGCGATGGGACGAGGCCCCGTGCGGGTATAAGCGTATTGCCGGCTCCGGTTACCTATGGGATATATAAAAACCATATTATTTTATACAATAAAATGAGAAAAAAGCGGTACTCCCGAAGTATGTTAATCAAGATGGCGGACACCGGAACGTAGTATGTGTACCAGGTTAGGGTTAGGCTATCATTTCAGGTACAAATACTACGGGAGTCACTTGGCTAGTCCCCGAACTCGTAATAGATCTAAAATAAAGAAAAATTGAAAAAAAAAACTATGGCCTAACCCTAACCTGGTACACATACTACGTCCCGGTGTCCGCCATCTTGGTGCATACACTTCGGGAGTACCGAAGAAGCAGCTCAATTTCGGGATCTAGTTTGAAAAAAGCGAGCCCTTGTACTTTGATTGGAGGTTCGGGTAACGATTCTGATTCTACGGAGCTAAAAATTTATTGGTTGATTTGTCATTTAAGCCCTGGGACTGGGGCATGTAAATAATTTACCATACCAGGCTCAGTAATCAAACGAGAGCTCTTAACTTGGCTGAACCACTAATCGGTTTTGCTACGAAAATATGAATATTCTATTTCATAAAATTATGATTCGACTCGAATTCGGACTGAGTCTAAGTAAAGCGAGCAGAGATTGATTTTTTGAATAAAACATAAGTCAATCCACACCATAAATTACAACGTCAAACTTTTTGTCTCGTTTTTTCGAGGATTTTTTAGTTACTACAACCACTTTTTCTAACTGTATTGACATGATCTGTCAAAAGTCTTGCGTAAACCAAAATCATATAACGACGATTTAAAAAAATTCAAATGAGATTGCGACACGAACTTCTCCTGGGCAAATATTTATAAAAAAAAATCCCACGCGGATATCGAATTGATAACAATAGTTATTGCTATTTGATTGATTTGCGCTTTTGTTCGTGCGTCGACGTCTACTATGGTGTCGTTGTTACTTATCGATCTTTGGATCGGTATGTATGTTGATAGGTATTTTTTGTTTGTCTGTCTGTTAGATGCACACAATCTGCTCTAAATTTTTGCATGTGCATTCATCATATATCGGACCAGAAGCCTATTGATTTGGATGAATTATGTCGTATAATTAGCGAGTTATTAATTAATTAGTGATGGGACACGCGGTGTCACTATAGAGTCATGAATCGAAACCGCAGTTTCGATCGATAAGTCTTCGGTCTCCGACCGATATTCTCGTTTAAAAACTTATTCGTATAATTCATGAGTCTAATTCTATAAAAACTTCAGCAATTCTTGGCATTTATGTGGATCCCGTAACTTTGCTAAGAGGTGAGTCTCATTACACCTCAGTGTGCGTATTGCGCCACCATCATTCTTTAAAGATCGGAAGTACTTGGCATTCCAGTTGTCACCATCACCCCTCTTTTACTTTGAGAGAGTGTCACCTTATTGTGTGCAATTTTTTTTACATAAAAATGCCATTTTTCAACAGTCCCAGGGATCTTGAAGGGAATTTCAGCTGCACCCTATTTGTCACGAGCAGCACAGTATATTTCTATTTTAATAATTGTAAAATAATAAAACTATTGGAAGATCACTTTAAAAATTTATTGTCAGAATATCCGGGAAAAGAAAATTTACGCAACCAAAACAATCTGGGACCGTTTTACATGCTCGTCCAAGTGTTTGCCATGAATAATTCAAATATTCATCTTCTATACATGTCCGAAGATCCAGTTTATTATAAAAAAAATTGTTTTTGAAAAATAAAATATAATAATTTTTGCAAAATACTGAACATAGAAAAGTTGAACACTTATTATTCTACAAATGTAAATAAAACAAAACATGACTTCATATGTTACGCAATAATGAGCAATATAGTATATATTTTTTGTGACGTAAAAAAATTAAGTGCAGTGACGCAGAATAATCCATAAATCCGGTTGTCCGCAATATAATGAAATCAATATTGTTACTCGACAATGGTCCACGTTTGTTATGGCATAGTAAATACTTGTTACGACATAATGGTGAAGGTGACACATTTTTTGTATGTCCTGAACGTTGAAATTTAGAAAAGTTCGCCTTATTCTGGGGCTACTCGTTGCATCATGTGCTCTTTGGGGAGGATAGGGTCCATTGCACCGGTGTGGGCTGCAAGTTGGTGGACCACGCAGGCTTGGAACAGCATGGCTGTGCAACAGTCAGCCATAAACTTGCCTTCGATTCCATCTCGTTCGCGAATTCTGGTTCTGAGCAGACCAAGACCAATACATGGAACGAAACCGGCAGCCATTGCCCACAGAACTGGTTGTTTATCCCCGAATGACTCCGCGATCTTCCCGACTGTTAAAGGTGCAAGGCAGTTGGCATAACAACACAACCCCATGTTAGAGAAACATCCGCACAGACCGACTTTGAATTCCCCCATTTTGATAGGTTAGTTCTCGTTTAGTTATTAGTCAGTATCACTAAAATCTGTTAAGTAGTAAAGTATAGAAAAAAAGGTTAGTTTTTTTATTATTGATTGGCTACAAAATTTGTTCCTCTTGTAGGAATATTGGGGTTTGAACAAAATTTAAATGTATAGGTCAGCAAAATGAAACCAAAAATATAAATACATCCTACACGGAAATATTTCTAATCCACCTGTGCTGCCTACGTTACCGCACTACACTTAGAAAGATAACTTAATGAAGTCCCCAAAAAAGTATATGAAACTATAGGATTTTGCTAATATTAAATACTTTTTTCGTGCATGCTTTCTAAATGTTTTCCTGGTGAAATATGGTCACTGGTGATACGAAAAAAACATCTTAAATAGTTCACAAAACTTTGCAAGCCGATGAGCGGTTTTTAATCTGAAACATAACTTAGAGGTTGACTTACTAACTAACTACATCAAATGTAATACCACATATCTGGGTACTCCCGGACTACGTGAACCAAGATGGCGAACACCGCGACGTAGTATGTGTATAAGGTTAGGGTCAGGCCATAATTTTATTCCAATTTTTCTTGTTTTAGTTCTATTACAAGTTCGGGAATAGCCAAGTGACTACCGTAGTATTTTTGTCTAAAATTATGGCCTAACACTAAGTTAGTACACATACTGCGTTCCGGTGTCCGCCATTTTGGTCCACATACTACGGCAGTACCCTAAAATCAACTCCAACGAGCCAGATGCTAAAAATTCAGATCCGATCTAAAATCTTGCGTGTTTCCGAAAAAAAAACCGTGAAATTACTCAAATTCGCCCGTTTTTGTAATAATTATAAAACTGAGATTACTGTAAAACAGCATTTCCACTTTAAAGAATCTGTCACGTTTTCGGCAGAGACTTATAGACAGTGCATCATAAATTGTTTTTCTGACAAACTATGACATCAGTAGTTATAACGTCATCAAATATAATCTATCTTCCCTAAAATGGACCAATTACGTAATTAATAACGTCACCGAATATAGGTATTAAATTTCAAACGCCACTCTATTGCACGTCATTACCCACTAGCAAATTGAACCAAATACGTCACTATGACGTCATTATACCTACATCGCCTCCCTCAAATACAATCCTGATTACGCATTTGGGAGCCAGTTTGAAATTTATTGTGTGGAATAACCTGAAAATTGAAACTGCAGAATCAAAACAAATTTAAACCACTCTTCGTACTCAAACAAGTCTGGGCCATTTATATTGCCAATGGTATTATCCGTAGCCCGGGCTTGGCCGAGCATTGACCCACCAAATTGTGAAGTATTTTTTCGGAAAATAAAAATAACACTTTTTGTAGAACACTGAACAAGCAAACGAACACGCAGAAACACTGGACGTTTGGGAACATAAAAACGCTTAGAATGATATTAAAAGTGACGTAATAATATAGAATAAAACTATAATTTGTAACGAAGATACAGTGACGTAACAATAACACGAAAAGGGTCCGGTTTTCCGCTCCGGTTTTAAAGACATCTGAGAACCATTGTTATGTAATAAGTCTCTATGACGTCATAGTGAAATGAAAATTTCACTCCCTTTCGTCATAATTTACTTATTACACAACAATGGTGAACTGATGACAAAGTTAGATGTCTTATTTGGCAAACGTTTAGAAAGTTAACTTTGATCTGGAGCGACTCGTTGCATATTGTGTTCTTGAGGGAGGATTGGGTCCAGTGCACACGTGTGGCCTGCAAGTTGATTGAGAACGCATGGCTGGAACAACAAGGATGTGCAACAGTCGCCCATGAAACCTCCGTCGATGCCATCCCGTTCACGAACTCTGGTTCTGAGAAGACCGAGACCAATGCATGGAACGAAACCGGCAGCCATTGCCCACAGAACTGGTTGTTTTTCCCCGAATGATTCAGCAATCTTTCCGACTGTTAAAGGTGCAAGGCAGTTGGCATAACAGCACAACCCCATGTTGGAGAAGCATCCGCACAGACCGACTTTGAATTCTCCCATTTTGGTGAGTTATGTGTAGTTTTGTAGGCTATTTTGGTAAAATCTGTGATAATCGGAAAAATATAAAGTTACGATATGTTTGACCCTCTAAGAAAACATACCTAAAATATAGTGTGGTATACAATTCTTGAACCTAATGCAACTCGGAATCTAACAATCAAAAAATACTACTAATACCACTGGAATGACAAACGGGGGCCATGAGTGCTAAAAGTCTCCAGAAAGAGGCCCCGAGTAATAAAAGGTTGCAAAGCACTTGTATAGAGCCTGATTCGGAGCGACGTCTTGCAAATAAATTGCTTCTTTATTTGCCTTTATAATCGAGGTCCTATATAAACAATCACTCTTTCTCCATTACTCTCCTATCAGGTATTTAGTTCAAGTATGATGTTGCTATGAGCAAACTTTTAACAAGGATTGGAACCTGTATAGATATTTCCCTGTATATGGATCTTATCGCGTGAGTGGTAACTGTTTGAAACTGTTAAAAGTACTCTTTCCACTTTTAGTCGACCGCTCAGGACGTTGTTTTGAACGAACTTGCCTAACAAATACCACAGACGTCATTCCTAGATATACCCATCAGATCCAGCCCAATATAAAAACTACACTCCGTGAATGACCCAAACAGTCGCATATCTGTATGTTATATATCGCCGTTGTAAGAATACGCTTCGCGTTGCCTAGAAACCGAATAAAAAATATCTCGAGTGAATAATGATGTCTTTCGTCATTCGGCTGCTTAGTTTTTCAGTAATTATTTATCCTCTTGTTCTGGGCACAATTTTCAAAAGCTATATATGGCTCGTGTCGTGTCTTCACGTCTTTTTGCGACATTGCAACAATTGTTTGCACGCTCAATTAGGGAATCTCGTTTTAGGATTGGGCTGATCGAGATTAAATATTCAACCAAACGTAATTACGAATTTAATTATTCAATCGCTTTGTTAAATCATTTGTTAATGTTGTCATTGGAAAATCAATTTCCTGCGCGACTACTGGACTAATATGAAATTTTCAGCACTTTAAGCTGGTCGAAGCCACTGGCAAGTTATTGCTTTCACTTATTTTATAATTTTATTCAGACTACGGCTCGAAGTTTATTTGTTTTATTTTAGTTACATTTTGTATCCGAATCGTGGAATAAAATTGATAATTCCTACACAGTATTCCCTCAACTGTTGGACTTTCAGATAATTTCGAGTGGATCACGAAACATCCATTTTTAAAAAATAAATTCTTTTTCCGCCCGCATTTATAACTTGTCCTAAAAAGATAAAAATTGAAAAAAAAGATAAAAAAAATTTCTATAGCCATTTAGAAATTAATTTTTTTTTCCTTGTCCTAATTTAACAAATTCAAAATTTCGTTCTGATGTGACGTGATTACAGAAGGCATATGCGTCGCGATTTTCGAATGTTTGGCAACATCTGTTCTAAGTGATTGAGTATCGCTGCACACTTACATAATTTTCGAATATTTATACATGTGCTGTATTGCAGCTAGACTTCTGAATTATTATTAGATACTATAAGTCCTAAAAATTTTATTTCTGCTGAGAAAAATTTTGCTCCCAACTCATCGACGAATATCGGCGGCAATGGCGACAATAAAATCTCTGCCAGAAGAGTCACCCGACGCCTTTTTTTTTCGCGAAAACGACCGTTCGAAACTCGATATGTGTAGTCTGTCCAAACAACACTTAAAGTGCGCGACTTTTTTTGAGCCGCTTTAAAAAAATATTGACATTTTCGTCGTAAAAAGTTCAAAATCTTTGAAATATAAATTTAGATGAGTAATATTTAAAATTTTATCGTATTTATAACTACTAAAATATTGTTTTATGAGTATATTTGCGTTTCGACTTTAAAATTCGAGTAGCTTCCTTTAACTTTTCCTTTCTGCAAAGAGCCGGCGTCCTGACGACCCTATGTTTATCCGTTGCCCTAGTGCGAGTCTCCATGGTGAGTTTTCTCATAAAAGGGGCAGATCGTGTTCCCCGCTTTGGTACGCTTCAATTGTGACGCTACAATCCTACTACAAGACATCGCTTTGTGACAACACAATGGTCACTATGACGAAAAACAAACAAAAAATCAACAAATTCCAACGTATTCACTGAATAAATTGTTTGACAAATAATTGAGGATAATAGACGCGGTGGAATCAAACTATTGTGACTTCATAAAGATAATACCAGCTGACTTTATGAGAAAACAATAGCACTTGTTTAATTTAAACTATTTGGTCACAAATACCACATTCTCGTAAATCCGGCAATACGAGAAATCGCCCTGGCTTGTGAGGGCGAAGCTTCATTAAAACTTATTCAGTAAATTAACTTGCAATTCAACAGTTATTCGCCATTAATCAGTCCACACAAAAATAATTCATTTTTTCGATATGTATCTGTGTTTTGGATAACAAAATTAATAGCTCTCTTTCATTGCGTACAATTTTAATAGACCCCGCTCCTGATATTCTATTGGCTAACACTTATCACGTGACACATTACAGCAAAATACTCGTGACTTTTACTTCTATCCCAATGTGCATTCTTAATTACAATATTGCTCGCCCACGGTAGGAGAAAATGATTGATTGACGGCCGGGTGGCTTCCTAAATAATATTGAGCTACGCTACACCAAAGTCCCCCCAATGCGTACAATTTGCAATATACCCCGCCCCTGATATTTCATTGTCTAACATTCAGTCACGTGACAAAATTACGTCGAAATTAATGGTGCTCGCCCACGGTGGATGCAATAGTTGATTGATAGCCGGGTGTCTTCCCAGACAATGTAGTTTACAAACTGACGTGGCGCCGGTCGTTATTGGACATAAAATGGACGCCGGATCGTTTTGATAAATTCCTGTTGTAAAAAGTCGCTTCACTCTGCGATTAATGACCTGATCGATTGCGGATTTTCAAATGTTTTCTGAGTTCCACGTAGCCCGATATTTCACAAATTTTACTGATAATTATAGATCACCGGTATAGTATGAATAATCAGCAATTTAACCTACAATTCAACAGTAATTGCATTCATTTTTATCAATCCCACCCCGGCTATTTCATTGGCAAACACTCTATCACGTGACAAAATTACCGCCCAATCCTGGTAATCGATTTCAAATTTCTAGTGCTTTAATATGAAGGAAGTATATAAAATTGATTCATTTTCTTAATGTACTCTTAATTTCCACGAGGCCTGTTATTTCACTACAAGTTTTGGTAGGGTTTATAATTCATGGACGCAACGTCATGTGGTATTCGATACGATTCGTTTGCCTTGGGAGGACATTTTGCTGACATTGCGGAAGTCTTACTGTTTATTATATTTTACATATAGCCTGGTTGCTCCCTTGTTGGACACGAAGTGTACTTATGGACCGTTTTAGTATTATCATGTTGTTTTTGATCATGGTGTTGTTAGTATACTTTTTTCTTTCTTATCGTCACAAAAAAGCGTGTCCGCATTAACTACTGCACCAATTGCTTTGAAATTATCAGTGGTTGAAGATTGGATTTTTCTCTAGAAGGATATTACTTTTATTTATCCTAAAAATTTCTGTGGCCCTTATGGGATTCGTTTTTTTGTGTTTGATTACGTCATTAAAAATTGCGCACATTGTGGCGGTTAGTTTGCGTCAGTTGTGAAGTTTACCGCACGTTTTGGACTTCATCTTCAAATATTTGAGCATCGCTCTCTTGTTATTATAAATTATTGGCAAACTATCTTCATAGTCATATGCTATTTAGTGGAATTCTTTCAATATTTTACTCTCATCACAGTATTAGCTATTTGGCCACCATGTCCCTATTTGAGCATTGCTCGCTTGTAAACATAAACACACAATTTACTATACCAATCATTCATTGATCGGCGCGGGCCGTCGGTTCGATTGTAATTTGAAAAGTATATAATTTATTTTAAAATTGCAAAGGGAATTTATCGATACCATATATTGTTTTGGCCCTCACAGATGTATTGAAGTAAAATATCTAAACAATTATTGATTCAAAAACTACAAACCCGGTTAGGACATATTGAGAACTACTTCATAACAAAACTGAAATTGTGAAGGGACTTCATGAACATCTTGTATATAAATAATATTATATTTATATTAGATATATATATATAAACTGGTCGAAATGATTGATTAACAGACGGGTGACTTCCCAATTATTACCAAATAAAATAGAAAATAATAAGAATTGTGTTGTTGCTGTGGCCATATCAGTCATTTTTAGGCATTGCTATCTTTAGTTCTCAAACAATATAGTAATCTTCCTGCGCTACGTTCAGTGATGAGCTGGAAAAATCGCGTAACAACCGGAACGCACCTAATTCGCAAAAGGGTAATATATTTACAACACGACGCGGTATTTACAAACAGGGTCTGTCCTAAGATAGAGTCGAAGAACTGCAATCAAATATGAAGAAATTATCTAAGTATGACTGTGGAAAATTACAAGAATATTCATAGCAATTCAATACAAATGCATTATTTGAAAGGTATAGGATAAATCTCCATTGAGTAAAAGGTCGGGAAAACATCTATTACACGTTAATCATTATTTGCACGATGTGATGTAAACAGAATTACGACGTAACAATACATAAATTAATAACTAGATTTACCAGACAAACTAGACTTTTTGTAACATAATTTTATTTCAACAACAGGAACGCTAATGCAATACGGTATAATGTACAACAACCGGAACGCCGTTTCGATGCGTTCCGGCTACAGCTCACCACTGGCTACGTCCTATTATCGTATTATGTTGCAGACAATGTAATACGTGACGCGCTCGTCGGTTGGTCAGATTATAATTTGAAATTACGACTTTCGTTTGGTGCGATGAATTTCTTAGAGCGTGTATGGCCCCGGTTTAGATATTAGGCTTTCAACAAAATTTGATCAAAGCAGGGTTGCGCACACACTCAAAAATAAAAGAGACTCATCTCTGTACATAGTTACAGATTCT